GGTGTTAAGAATGTATGAAGGGAAAAGCAATCAACTTGATACTGCGTGCACTTCTTGCCTATTGGTAATCCAATTAAAAAATACAATGACCAAATTTATGGAAGCTTCATTTTGGGAAAAATGAGCATTAAATTTCACAAAAAAAGGAAAAAATTGCAAATTTTATATAAAAGTAGCATGTTTATTAGGATTCCGGCCGATTCCCGCAGTGATGTTAATCTCAAAATGTCTGCCCAAACCTAAGCTTTCCATGTATGGTATTTCTTTTTGCCAGAATTTGCAACACTGCATGTGCAGGCGCTTTTCCTTCCCACGTCCGTCGATTATTATTAGGCATAATCGGTACACATTTGTACTATTCAACGCTCGTCCGCGTAACCATGGCAACGGTTACGAGAGTGTAGAGCGTATAGCGTAGTGTATATTGCTTCCACACGTTGATGCAATTCGCAATAATATATGGTATCATTCTAGGAGAACTTGGATTGAAATAAACGATGGCGGTATTAAGAAGACAGCTTTTTCATGCTGTGCATTCAGCTGGCTTCATTTGAGACATCAAACTGGCATCCGAAACATCCATTGATGCATTATGTGCATATCATAATGAGGGTAACAAGTCAAACATCCCACAAAAACTTATCAAGAGTTTGTCAAAGACTATTGGACGCTTTCTGTATCGTATGCGAGAGAAATGGAACAAGTGTGGTCGTTACCAGGAATATTTCATGAAAGAAAACGAGGACTGGCTTAATCAGACATTGACATTCAATACTGAAGTAGAAACATTTCTTGCACAGCAAAACAGCACAGATACCGGGACAGAAACAGAGCCAGCTTCAGACTTGCCAGGCACGTCACAGGGCGCATCCAATGTGGGACGTCCAGCTAAGAATTGGGACACCCTCTCAGATCGTTCTAAAAAAGAAAAGCACACCACCTTCTAGAAGACAGGGAACCAGAGAAACTTCTATATGCGGCATCTCAAGGCGTGTATAAGAAAAATTCAAGTTTGAAATATGTGTTGAAATTCGCAATGCTTACACCATCTGAAATAAATCGATGTCTCATTCTTTAAATTCATATGGAAAGGGAAACCCGATACAATAAACAGAAAACAAGTAGTTTGTAAATACGAAAATAGTGGACTACAAATAGTTGATGCCGGACACTTTTATGGAGAGAAATTTAAAAATGCTCCAATTGTGCGTCTTAGGTCCAGAGACCCCTGAAAAGTTCCCCTAGTCAGTGTAATATGAATCTGTCTATGTGTTACAATGATTATTTGCCTTGCCCAACCAGAAAACAGTATTTTGATGACGTCATAGAAATTTGAAAATGCTCCAACTGTGTTTCTTAGGTCAAGAAACCCCTTATAAGTTCCACTAATCTGTGAAAATGAATATGTCTATGTGTTTAATACATGAATATTTGCCTTGTCCAATCAGAAAACAGTATTTTAATGACGTCAGACAAATTTGAAAATGCTCCAATTGTGTTTCTTAGGTCCAGAAACCCCTTATAAATTCCACTAATCAGTGTAATATGAATCTGTCTATGCGTTACAATGAATATTTGCATTGTCCAATCAGAAAACAGTATTTTAATGACGTCAGAGAAATTTGAAAATGCTCCAATAGTGTTTTTTAGGTCCAGAAACCCCTCATAGGTTCCACTAATTAGTGTAATATGAATCTGTCTATGCGTTACAATGAATATTTGCCTTGTCCAATCAGAAAACAGTATTTTAATGACGTCAGAGAAATTTGAAAATGCTCCAATAGTGTTTCTTAGGTCCAGAAACTCCTTATAAGTTCCACTAGTCAGTGTAATATGAATCTGTCTATGTGTTACAATGCATATTTGCCTTGTCCAATCAGAATACAGTATTTTGATGACGTCACACGGATTTGAAAATACTCCCATCGAATTCTACGGGTCTGAAAACCCCTCAGATACTTTAACCAGGAACTTCATTAACCTTCTTCAATGAGAAATTAATTTTGGCACACTTTGAGGCGGTTCTGGCCCACTGTGGGGTGGGGCAAACTTAGTCCTGAAATGAAGTCAAATACCAACTACCCCGCCCCAGACACACATACACACATCGACACAGAACCAAACATCCTTCCAAATGGTTCTTTTCATACATCAGCTTCAGCCATATACATGTATTACACTTTAGACTTCTTCGATTTCAATAAACCCTTATCCTAACATCTCTTTTTCTCTTATACCAGGGTGTTTTATTTTAAATGTTTGTTTGTCAAAAACAAATGTATAAATATAATTACTTACCAATGTACATAGCGCAATGAAGAAAATGTTTGTCCATCCCATCTTGAAAGTGACTGGGTTGCATATGGCTGGCAGTTTTTCTCAACTGCCTCTGACGTAAGCGAAAATCCAAACAATTTCAAAGAAATCGTCTAATCGATGTAAGATATTTATTGTTCCTCACGAAGATACACTTTCACAACATGGGGAAAATCAGTTTTTTGTATTCACCTAGAACTGCTGAGTTGTTTCTAGTACGATATCCTAAGCGTTTGAGAAATATTTCAAAGCGAATTTGTTTAAACAAGATTGGCACATGCAGTATTGACACAAGTTTCAATAACGTGAATTTAAAATCGACCTTCCTTGCATTGATCCCCATGTAGAAATACCTCAGCTAGAAGGAGGAGAAATAGCTCGATTAACAAAGCAGCAAAAACCTGTCCATAAAAATAATTAACAATATTGTTAAACGTGTGACTCTCCTGGTTACAAATATTATGCCTATGCTACTTTTGTTTCCTAGTAACTGATACCACGTGATGCGCGGTTTCGACCAATGACATTACATGGAATAAAGGACCCGTCCCCAAATGAGCCAGCGAATGATCACAACACTGGAAAAAAGGCATGTTCATTAATTTATTAGGTTTCATTGTGCTTTACCCGGAACTCGTGGGCTTACATCGAAAGGGTGCGGTGCAGTGCGGCGCGGTGTGGTGAGTTCACCGCACGCATTCGATAAAAGGCCCCCCGCTTTTCTGGAAAGGGTGCGTTGAGAACGAAGGACTGTCTTAGCACACCTTTTCGACTAGTCTTTCCCCGGTGGGGTCACTCAATGTGACTTCCGGACCGCATGACCGTTACCAAAATCGCGGAAAAAGGGGTAAATTTCAAGCAATGTCCGCGGACAAAATATTCCTCGAAATAAAGAAAATAGGGGGGCACAGGTGTCCCCGAAATTGATTAATAAGGGTCAGGAAAAGGGAAAAGAGAAAACCGGGAAGAAAAATTCTCGGAGCCGAGTCTTGTCCTTGAAATATGGTAAAATAGGGGTAAATTTGCGAAAGTGTCCTTACAATCTTATAAATAGGGGTATTCCAAAGTACGATTTTGTCCTTGTTCTGACGTAAAAAGGGGGTTAAATTTTACAAAATGTCCTTGAAATTGACCGCAAAAGGGGGTTATATGCATTGGTGGTAACGGTCATACGTGTCACTCTTTGCAGGGGAGTGACGTTTAAAATGTTTAAGGAATAGAAATGTAGTTTTATAAATTGAAATAATAAAATTGAAACAACGTTTTGCGTAGTCTTGCAGATCAGGCATTTATAAGAATTAATCAGTAAATAAAAAGAAACACAATGAAATAAGATGGTTCCTTGCATGGGTCTGTTGCACTTTGTGCTGATCCTATAAAAGCTTCACCCCACCCCCCTCTCTGTCTCTCAGGTGCGGATGCAAGGGGGTCGAGCAGGCCTTGCCCCCCCCCCCCCGCAAAAAAAAAAGAGAAAGAGAAGGAAAAAAAGGGAAAGGGAAAAAGGGGAGAAAGGTAAAGAAAGAAAGAAGAGAAGAAAAGGGGGAAAAAGGAGACCAGGGGCAAAAGGGTCTTGCGTCGCAGGCTGTTGCCTCCCCCCAGCCCCCGCTAAAACAAAGAAAGAAGGAAGGAAAGGGAAAGAAAAAAGGAAAAGAGCAGATAAAGGGAAAGAAAAGGGTGAAAAAAGGGGAGATCAGTAACGGTTAACCCCGCCAACAACGTGTGGATCGGGTGAAGGGGGGGGGGGGGGGGGGGGGTGGGTGCAGTGGGGGGCGAGTTTTTCTCACCCACCGGCTGCCGAGATGGTTGCTACAGCAATCACCGAGTTGAAGGACCGCAATGGCTCCTGGCTGCAAGCAATAAATAAGTATATCGCTACCATAGGGTAAGGGTTAGTGTTATGGTTAGGGTTAGGGTTCTCGACTCTTAACTCTTGTCTGAATTGAGTTCCCCCCTCAAAAGTGAAGCGCGAAAGCTTTTACATTTCATTAAATTGTTAGAAAAAGAAGACGGTCATTGTACCGTTCTCGACTCTTAATTTTTGCACACCTTTTCGACTAGTCTTTCACATCAGTCGTTTAAAATGTTTAAGGAATAGAAATGTAGTTTTATAAATTGAAATAATAAAATTGAAACAACGTTTTGCGTAGTCTTGCAGATCAGGCATTTATAAGAATTAATCAGTAAATAAAAAGAAACACAATGAAATAATATGGTTCCTTGCATGGGTCTGTTGCACTTTGTGCTGATCCTATAAAAGCTTCACCCCACCCCCCTCTCTGTCTCTCAGGCGCGGATATAAGGGGGTCGAGCAGGCCTTGCCCCCCCCCCCCCCGCAAAAAAAAAAAAAGAGAAAGAGAAGAAAAAAAGGGAAAGGGAAAATGGGGAGAAAGGTAAAGAAAGAAAGAAGAGAAGAAAAGGGGGAAGAAGGAGACCAGAGGCAAAAGGGTCTTGCGTCAAATGCTGTTGGTTGGGGTTGGGGTTAGGGTTAGGGTTAGGGTTAGGGTTAGGGTTAGGGTTAGGGTTAGGGTTAGGGTTAGGGTTAGTGGGTTAGGGTTAGGGTTAGGATTAGGGGTTAGGGTTAGGGTTAGGGTTAGGGTTAGGGTTAGGGTTAGGGTTAGGGTTAGGGTTAGGGTTAGGGTTAGGGTTAGGGTTAGGGTTAGGGTTAGGGTTAGGGTTAGGGTTAGGGTTAGGGTTAGGGTTAGGGTTAGGGTTAGGGTTAGGGTTAGGGTTAGGGTTATTTTTGTACTACCTCTTGGCGCCCGAGAAAATACATGGCTTCTAAAAATATACAATTGGCGTCTGAGTATCTACAGTGGCATCTGAAAACCTACAATTGGCGTCTGAGTTTCTACAATGGCGTCTGAAAAGCCACAGATGGCGTCCTATTATCTACAGCTCGGCGCCCGTAAAGCTACATGCTACCCTAAAACTTACATGTTGGCTTCTTTTCATTTTACTCCTCTTAAAAGTAGATTTCCTTCAAAGTTATGGGCTGCCCATTGGTTTTTACAGGTAAGAAACGATATTTAACTTCCATTTTACCATTTACTTACGTTTTGTTTGAAAATAATTAGTTTTTAGTGAAATATGACGGTTTTTAGTGTCCAATGTTTTTTTTTGGTAAAATTTACCGAAACTTGTCTGATTTAGGACCTTTTTCTTTCACTTTAATCCCTTTTATCTTAGAATTGCAATCGTTTTGTTCTTCATGAATGAAAGATATCAATTCCTTATAGATTCATCAATCCATAAGTGTTTGCATATTCGATTTTGTATTTTGAATAACAAAATATCAGCATTTTTGTCGATTTACTACGAAAACCGATTCAAAAAAATTCAGGGTGCTGTTGCCGATCTGTGCCATCACCGTTAAATAGCTTTGTTCCTGACCACCACTGACAGGGCATTTGACCGAGGCACTTTTCCGCCTGAAGTACTGGCCTGGTATTCGGCTGTTTTCTGGTATACAATGACGTGCAATGACATGGTAAGCAATTTAGATTGACCCCACTTATTTTCTTATTTCATACTTTTTATCCAAAAAGAGCCACTTCAATATGTTGAGTACAAATGAAAGTTTTTGTTTATGGTATCCATCCACTTGGCAAAGATGAAATTGATTGAAAAATCTCATTTGTTTTGAGTGGAAAACCTATGGCAATTTGCTCCACAACTCCTGGCCTAGCATTCGGCTGTTATCTGGTGAAGAAAAGTGATGCATTTGGTATGATACAAAATTTAGATTGACCCCATTTATTTTCTTACGTTTTGTTTTTTATCGACAAAAAGCCCCTGCGATATGTTAAGTACACTTGAATATCATTGTTTACGTTGTCCATCCACGTAGCAAACATTAAATTGCTTGACAAATCTCATTTGACCGAGGCACTTTTCCGCCTGAAGTACTGGCCTGGTATTCGGCTGTTTTCTGGTATGCAATGACATGGTAAGCAATTTAGATTGACCCCACTTATTTTCTTATTTCATACTTTTTATCCAAAAAGAGCCACTTCAATATGTTGAGTACAAATGAAAGTTTTTGTTTACGGTATCCATCCACTTGGCAAAGATGAAATTGATTGAAAAATCTCATTTGTTTTGAGTGGAAAACCTATGGCAATTTGCTCCACAACTCCTGGCCTAGCATTCGGCTGTTATCTGGTGAAGAAAAGTGATGCATTTGGTATGATACAAAATTTAGATTGACCCCATTTATTTTCTTACGTTTTGTTTTTTATCGACAAAAAGCCCCTGCGATATGTTAAGTACACTTGAATATCATTGTTTACGGTGTCCATCCACGTAGCAAACATTAAATTGCTTGACTAATCTCATTTGTTTCAAGCTGAACACCCTTCATTAGGTGTTCAACTTGAAACAAATGATACTTTTCAATGTGTGGTGCATTTGGTATGATACAAAATTTAGATTGACCCATTTATTTTTTACAGTTATGTTTTTTCGACAAAAAGGCCCTGCGATATGTTTTGTTTCCAGCAGAAAAACTTGAAAGGGCGATCTCCCTTGCCAAGTATTTAGCCGTTTCAATTGGATGATTACGCAAAACCGTCATTAACTCCAACTTCGTGGACGTCCTATTGAAATGTATGATACAGAATTAACATTCGTTTCTCAAGGATGTCTACAAACTAAACTTAGTGATGGTTTTGAGTAACGGCCCCTCGTTGTTAAAGTTCTGCCTTCCGGTGCACTTGATAAGATACACAATTTAGTTTGACGCCATTTTTTGTTCTAATTTTATGGGTTTTTTTTAACGACTTTAATATACTAGCCACTGCGATATGTTAATTCTATAGAAAATCTTAGTATAAGGTGTCCATCAACTACATCGACCTCAACATGTGCTCCATCAATTACACTTGCTAATATTTCAATTATAATTAATTGCTTCATTTGTTTATACATTTCTTATAGGGTTATATATGAGCGACGTGTAGGTTGATGTCGAACAATGGGCAGAGGTAATACATACACGAAACTGGACACATGGGACCGATGTATATTTAGGAACAAGGAATGACGACTTATTATCGCACATGTGTAAATATAATTAAAGAGTATTAAGAAGTGATCGTATCCATACTAATTTAAGGGGAGTCTATCCTTATTGTAAGGATAAGAGGACGTTTTGTGGGCAAATACGAAGATTTCAAAATGTAAAATGTCGCCATTTTGTACAGACAGAGGGTCCGAGCTTACGAACGATGCGAGCAACTTCCACTCCAAAAGTTAATCGACATCGGTATGTATTTAGCTGGCTGCTGACCCATCTAAAAGTCCTCAAGTTACTATTTTACCATATTTTTAAAGCTTAATAAATTTCCTTTCATAATTTTTAGCTACTTTTGGGGCCTTTGGAAAAAATTGTGGAATTTAAGACGAAAATCAAAACTTCAAATTTCCAAAAAAAAGTCATCGTTCTAACTACTGATTTTTATAATTTTTTCCCACTTTTTTGAAAAAATAAAGATGATATTTCCGTGATTTTAACTTTTAACTCTTCAAAACAAAAACAATCATTTGAAAATCTCATTTTATAACGGAGCTACGAGCATTTCAAAACGAGTCTTCATTTGCGACTTCTGAGGTTTTGTAGCCACACATGCTAATATACTGTTAGTGCCAATTCTCACAGTGAGCTATTTGACCCATTCAATTAACCCCACATTCCATTAAAGGTGGTCATGGCAACAGGCCTCCAAGGCCACTATACTTACAAGAAGCTGTATGCAATGTACATACTCTCATAGAAACCGGTTTTGTACACTACTATTCTATTGTACAATCTTTCTGAGGCCATCTTAAACTATAATACTTTCGATCATTTTCTCTTATGTTATTCATTGTTTTTCTTCTCTCTTTCCTCTTATTATTCTGTAGTTTCCTTCTATTGATCATCTTCTCTTATGTTATTCATTGTTTTTCTTCTCTCTTTCCTCTTATTATTCTGTAGTTTCCTTCTATTGATCATCTTCTCTTATGTTATTCATTGTTTTTCTTCTCTCTTTCCTCTTAATATTCTATATTTTCCTTCTATTGATCATCTTCTCTTATGTTATTCATTGTTTTTCTTCTATCTCTCCTCTCATTATTCTTTATTGTCCTTCTATCATCTCCTCTTATGTTTCATACATATGACACAAAGTGATATGATTACTGAACTTGAATAGCTACATGTACATGTATGCTGTAAAATCTTTTTGTTTTGTACTTGGGTGGGTTCGAATCCCGCGAAGCTGTTTTTAGCACAAGAGCTTTCATGGTGCCAGTACAATATCATTTGGTTCTATAGCATTCAACGTGCACGTTTCTGATACAGATACAAATGTTGAAAGTAAAGAGGACATCTCCTCAGAATTGGCAGAGAACTCAAAGATAAACTAATTGAGTATAAGGCACTTGTTTAGAGACATAAGAGGACAATTTAGAATTGTTGTTCTGGATCCAGTTTAGAACAAGGCTTTTAATTTCTTTGTAACAATAACCTAAGTGACCACTGTATAGATCTGTTTGAAATAAGGAGCACCCAGTCCTGCAACTGCCACGCCCACCATCGATTTGTCCACAGGATCTTCATCCCTGATATGCTTGCCATATTGTATAATATTGTATTTATGTTTAGCATAGGCTAGGTTTAGATCATTCCTATTGTGATCAGGCCCAACCGATTTGATTGTTTTGGATAAATTATGCCCCCCCCCCCCCTTCAAATTTTTTGTTAATTATAATTCACTCCTAAATCAGTGACTTATAATAGAAAATATAATTGGCCAAAAGAGTCCTAGACATCTTAATTGATGAGGAGAAACAAAGGAACAGAGTGCTGGTGATGCCATGTGTCATTCCAAATGCTGACACCAATTACACCACAAGTAACTGTTTTCTTCTCTTCATTTTATTATTCTAGGTAAGCTTATTCTCATTTATATTTTATATCTTATTATTAACTGTATATGTAATTGTTATCATTAATGTCATGTATCACCCTCTTAATATTAATATATTCCATATCAGGAATATATGGACTTTTAGGGATGAAATATGAAGATAGCTTTGTGACTGTGATGGTGCACTAAACTTAGTTCAGCGAGTACTCTAATGCTGATGTACTTTTGTGTTCAGATATATATATCGCCAGGATATTGTTACTAAACAGTATAATGAATTAATGAGTTTTGCAAGTACATATAAGTGTGTACTATTTCAATGTTTTATTATCATGCGTTAGAAGGTATAGAATCAGTAGAAGAATAGGATGATTTGTATGATGTGAATGAACGTCTCATGAAATGGTAGTGTATGTGGATATATATACCCATTTCACAGCTAGTGGGTTAAACATATATGCAAGCCTGTATATTGTAGCCACTTGCATAGACTTACTGTCGTGAAGTGTAAACATGGTACCCAAGTTGTGTATAGATTAGATGTGAATAGGACCTTTGTTATAAGAGAGGGATTTAGTCGCCTCTCTGATAAGCTACATCTAAACAGTTTGGTAAATAGAGTTTCTCTCCTCCACCAGCGATAGAAGTCTAATTAGGCGCAGACCCATTTAAAAGATGTAGTTTGTTATATTATATAATAGTGCAGTTATTGATTGATTAATATTCGAAGCACACATTTAATGAGTTTGATTATATATTATTATATTGTACATGTGTATTTTGTAACCATGATACTACAATAGAGCAATGAGCTTAGTAATTTATTAGTTATGTTAGAGAAGGCAACTTCAGTGGTCTGAATTGTAGAATAATTGAGAATTAGGCAAACCCAGCAGAAGTTTCGGCAAGATGCTTTATCTCACCAGTTTGGTAGAAATCAGTTTCTCTAAAGCTCATGCATATATTCGTTTATTAAATCTTAAGTTTATTTTCAGATGATTTATACAATCATTACATGTATTTAATTGTCCTTGTGGGTTTTGAGACAACGTAAAACTGTTATACATGTAGTTGTATATTTGTAGAATGTATAGTTTTATCTTGACTTATTATGTTGCGGATGCACCAGTAATTTGGAATTGCTTGGTTCTTAAAACGAAAGGATTATATAAAGTAGAATATATTCTATGCTAAACTTTTAATAGATGAACAGATATATGAGTGCATCATATAGTTACCAGAATTGCAACACGTGTATTCAAAGATGGGATACTAAGTTAACTATTAATTGAATTTGTTAGAAATGGAATTCAACCTTATATTTTACCTGTGGTATTTAAGCCACGAAAGTTTAGTTAGAATTAACTAAAACTGTATTATTGTAAGCTGTTTATATACTTAGTTAGAAGTTAGATTAGGTTTTGTTATGAGAGAAGATCTGGCTATTGCAGATCGATGTGATATAGTTTTAATGTATAAAACTGAAGCATGAACATGTGTTCATGATCGCCGTTGATATTTGATTACTCTTATTCATGATTATTCTTGCTTATTGCGATGGTATTAAGAGTAATAAAAGTCATTCTACATGCTGATACCAATAACACCACAAGTAACTGTTTTCTTCTCTTCATTTTATTATTCTAGCTCCCCTTCCCTGATAGGGGCGTTACACTATTTATATTGTTGTTTTGTTGTATTCTGTATTCTTTGTATTATTAAGCTATGTTTGTATTCTTTATTATGTATCATTATCATGATATGTACATGTGTTGTACTCTCATACCCCAGAAGGGGGTCGAATGAGTCAATAAATTCTATTCTATTCTATGAAACACATTTAAATGACAATTGCAGACCTTTTAGTTGCTTTCCTTGACGGTATTTTCAGACTTGGTTAAAGATTCATTAATGATTTGCTTATTAATGCTTTTTTTTAAATGTGCAATTCTCAATTCTTTTCTTTATTTCTTTCACCCCCCCCCCCCTTCTCTTTCTCCATAATAGTGCTCGACCACCAGCACCAAAAAACTGAGGGTGAAGTGCAAAAAACTACCCCAACATAATGAGCATCCAATCCCGCTACTACCAGACACATCATCCGTTAGTGTGTCAGCTGGATCATCATCCCTGGTATGTAACGCATTTAAATGGCAATTGCAGCCCTTTTAGCTCCTTTCTTTGACGGGTAATGTTAGACTTGTTCGGAATTTCATCAATGTCATTTTAAAACTGTGATGGAATAGTGTTAGACATCTATACAATAATTTGCTGAATTGTCTGAAATACTTGCTTATTGGTGATATTTTTTAAATGTGCAACTCTGTTATTATGGGTCAAATTGTTTCACAATTCATTTCTTGATGTCTTTCATCCCCCTCCCCTCTCTTTCTCCATGATAGATCTCCAGTACCAGCGATCAAACGGCGAGGGTGAAGTTCACCCAGGAAGAGAAGGAGGCAGTCCAGAAGCTTTTCGAGAGCTGGATAGAAAAGGGTGACATGCCTCGCATAGGCGTGGTGAGGGACATAGTCAAACAAAATAAAAAACTAGCACGTTGCCTCTCTAACCGCTCTTTTCTCCAAGTGAGGGACAGAGTCCGCAACGCAATCAAAGCTCAAACAAAATCTACGTCTATGTAGATCATCAACTATTTCATTCATCTTTCTTTTTTCTTAGTTGCTTTCTTAATGTAATATCCCTCACAATGCCTATGCAAGGCATGTCACCCTTTTCTATCCAGCTGTTGATATTCTAATGAAATGTTTAAGAAATGGCAGTGCACACTTGTCAGTAAGTCTGAATGTTTTGTAAAAGTAGTTTTTGTGATTCTTCTTTCTATTCTTGATCTTTTACTTTTTACATGATGATTATGATATGCTTTTTATAAATATGAAGGTACAATTGTATCAATAAAAATCTTCAATTGTCATTAATAAAACACTTTGAGCAGGACATAGGAGATAGTTTTGTATTATGTCCGAACTAAATATGAGTTGAGTCAAATCAAAAAATCATAATTATCTACATTGGACGTAAAAATGATTGAGTTATGGCATTTTTTAACTTTTGTATTGTTTCATGAAACAGTTATATGCATAACATGAGCTGTATTTCGATTAGTGACATGCCGCACTGTCATATGCTCGATTTTCCTTATGTGTATTATATTAAATATATATTCCTGTACACTATAAACATATTTTTAAAAAGAATACCCGTTTTACCGGTCCTAAGCTTTGGAACGATTTACCTGAAACTATGAGGAAATCTATACTTCTATTGGAAGCTTTAAAAAATGTATAATTTTAAATTACAGTGCATAAGTATTAGCCCTATACCCGATGAGGCTGACGAGTGTGTGTTTGTATATTGTATAAGGGGATGTGTATATAACCCAATTATATTGTACTGGCACCATGAAAGCTCTTGTGTTATAAACAGCTTCGCGGGACTCGAACCCACCCAAGTAAAATAAAAAAGAGTTTACAACACACATGAAGCTATATACTAAAGTTAATTAATAATAGCAGTTTGTGTCATATATTTAAAAGAATTTGCACTTTAATTATGCAAAAGATTAAATGTATTTTCTTACACCGTAACGAATGTTTCACATCATTGCTTGTAATTCCAGTCCTTAATTTCAATTTCACAGTATGAAATATGAGATAAAATGCACTTGAGAGAGAGAGAGAGAACAAAAACACAGGGAAAGTTGAAATTGAGATAGTGAGTGAAACCAATATGATGGAAAGTGGCAGTTGAGATAGAGAATGCAATAGAAAGGGGGGGGGGGGGGTGATAATAAAGACAGAGAACGTGGAGATGGTTATAGAAAGAGGGAACATGATGAGGGAAAGTGGAAGTAGAAGTAGTAAGGAAGAGCAGGTAGGGTGGTAGCAGAGGTAGTAATAAAAGTAAGGAAGAGCATTGTCCATTCAGGAGAGAGAAAGAAAGACAGATGAGGGAGGGTAAGAAATATTAAGATATTTAATGATTGACAGATCCGGTGAGAATGAAAGAGGGAGGGGAGTGAGGGAGAATGGGTAGGGTGGTAGTAGAGGTAGTAGAAGTAGTAAGGAAGAGCAGGTAGGGTGGTAGTAGAGGTAGTAATAGAAGTAGGGAAGAGCATTGTCCATTCAGGAGAGAGAGAAAAAAAGAAAAATGAGGGAGGGGTGAGAAATATTAAGATATTTAATGATTGACAGATCTGGTGAGAATGGAAGAGGAAGGGGAGCAAGGGAGAACGGATAGTGTGGTAGTGGAGGTAGTAGAAGTAGTAAAGAAGAACAGATAGGTTGGTAGTAGAGGTGATGTCCACACGGTCATTTTACCTGATGGTCGGGTCCTTGTCCATTGCCCTTTGTTGTAGGCATACCGCCGCCCTCTTCATGTGTTCCTCGCTGGTCTGCAAAGTTACAAAAGAACAAGATTATGTAATAAATACAAGTTCATTTAAAGTTCACTCAGGCATTTCAACCATTATGACAAGAAGAGAAATTGATGAACATGTTCTTTACTGTCTATTGACCACAACTTAAGCATACTATTTTAGAGTAAATTTGGGAAAAAAACAAAAATGTAATGAATACCAGGCTGGTGGCTAACCTCTTGAGATATCGATTTAAAAGTGGCTATGTGCCTGTCGTAGCTAGAGGCATTGACTGTTGGGGTTGTACCCAGGATGGTCAGCAAGTTTCTTAAGCCTTCAACTGCCAAACCACCAACCTCCGTTGGTCAGAGTAGTCCTAGGGTTTATTTCTGCAGATTTTCCAGGTCCTTTGCATGAATTTTCTGAGGAAAACAATATGAGGAAAAGTGACATTTGAGATAGAGAATGCAATATGAGGGACAATGACAATTGAGAAGGAAATGAAGACACGATAAAAGAAAGAGGAGATTGTGATAGCAAGAAGGAACACAAACAGCATGTTTCTATTAGTTTTAATGAAATTATCCGTTTCATTTGTTTTCCGGAAAATAGCATATAGTACCAGGGAATGGGCAGTTTCTATCTACGCGTATTATCCGGATAAATACACTGCTCCGATTTAGTGGGTTAAAAGGTTGTGAATAAGTTTGCATCGATCATGCCTAAGGCACCGCAAAGTAATGTGGGACTGCTAGGTCCACCTGGGATTTTAGTGGCGAGGTAAAATATTCCGATCACGTGATTACTCTGATTTCAGGTGTCACTCTGTTATATGTACTCAATCGGAACGGCGTGAGTTTCTGCTAGGCCTACTTAGCTTTGGCCTAAGTAGTAGGCTTAGTCTCCACTCATTTCTAATGAATTGACCACTAGAAACATCAAATTGGGTAGAACAAAGAATTGAAGCACAATAAGGGGGAGGAGGGGGGGGGGGGGAATTAGAAAATGTCCTATGTTTAGTGACGCTGACAACTTTTATGCACCATAACAGCAATCAGAGATCTTTTTTGAATTTTTCCTTGTATATGCTAGGTCAGGACGGCTGTTTTATGTCTTTACATTTCATGTGTAAATGTCAATGCCAACAAATGCGACATCAAAAAAATAAGGGGGGGGTGGATCTTCAACATGTCGATGCTATACGGATGCTGAACATGAACATTCTGTATTCGCGCATTAACGTAGCCTTCATATGCCTTTTTTGAATTTTTCCTTGCAAATACTAGGACAGGAAAGCTATCTTTATTATCGTACATGTCTTTGCATTTGATATGTGAAGTGTCAATGCCAACAAATGAGAAATACAAAATATAAGGGGGGGTGAATCTTAAACATGCATGCTGGTGGTGTACAGATGCTGCGATAATCATGGACAATCAGTATTCGCACAATAATGCAACAAACCGAGGCTTATTTTTGATTTTCCCTTGCATATGCTAGGTCAGGAAAGCTCTTTTTATTATCGTGCATGTCTTTGCATTCTATATGTGAACTGTCAATGCCAACAAATGAGAAATACAAAAAATAGGGGGGTGAATCTTAAACATGCATGCTGGTGGTGTACAGATGCTGCGATAATCATGGACAATCAGTATTCGCACAATAATGCAACAAACCGAGGCTTATTTTTGATTTTCCCTTGCATATGCTAGGTCAGGAAATCTCTTTTTATTATCGTCTTTGCATTCTATATGTGAACTGTCAATGCCAACAAATGAGAAATACAAAAAATAAGGGGGGTGAATCTTAAACCTGCAGGTGCTGTACTGATGCTGCGATAATCATTGACAATCAGTATTCGCACAATAATGCAACAAAACGAGGCTTATTTTTAATTTTCCCTTGCACATGCTAGGTCAGGAAAGCTCTCTTTATTATCGTGCATGTCTTTGCATTCTGTATGTGCAGTATCAATGCCAAGAAATGAGAAATACAAAAAATAAGCCTAGAACTAGAAGTTAGAACATGCCGATACTGTACGTACCGACGTCCGAAGCTGCGATATCATGGGCATTCAGTATTAGCACAATAACACAATAAAGTGTAGTCCTACTTACCTTATGGCTTAATGCAATTATTCTTTTGGGCATCTAAGAAGTAGACTAATTGATATAAGATCTATATGCTTCACAGTCAGAGTCATACCAGGCAGAGGCCTAATGCCAGGCCTGGAGTTTCGGCCGACAGCCTACCTGTGTTTAGGGGGGAGTGCTTGTTGTTCACGCAAAGTTGCATATCTCACAAAGTTGTGTACAATTTCATGACCTGTCGAGAGAAAGTGGATTGATTAAAGTCTAAATTAGTATAAATGGACAGTCAGATAAATATAGGGCACAATAAATTTAAAAACTCACCATTTAAATGAATAATAAGAGCTGACTGCCCGCTGGAATGAATCTACTTTTGTTTGTTTAGTTTCTACTGTTACTTTGATTCGTTTGTTATTGTGTGAAGCTCCCTCTACGTGAGAAAAGTACCAATGGCGGGAATTGATGGGAAAAATTAATTTTTGTATCACTTTTTAAGGAAAAAGCATAACAATTAATAAAAAACCAATTGCAGGAAAGTAGGCCTGGATTATCAAAGATCAATTTGAGTATGGTATATTCTGTGGCTTCAATGTAAAAATGTTTTTTTAAAGAACTTTTGTAGAGCACCTATTTTTTGGCCTACACTGTACAAACCTATGGTGAATATTAGATTTTTCGTATTTCGGGGGATATTTTTGTTTGCTAATATTTTGGTTTTATGATTAAAAAATAAGAAACGAATGAATATTTAATGTTAAAAAGGGTTTAAATGTTAAAATTAAAGCAGCCCCCAAGTCATATCTTCAAATTTCAGCCCCAAAAGACTAATTGAAAATTTGCAAAAAAGCGAAATTCGAGAAATACCGTCCTAAACTTTTTTTTTTAAATTGCTTGTAATTAATTAAATAATTAACCAATTTTGCTAATTTTTTCAGGATATGCTCATGATAAGATACACTAAGCAGTGCATATTTTATTTAAATTTATAAGGGCCTCGATTAGTCTGACCTTTTCATCATCTCAAACAAAAATTCATCTAGTCAATTGTTAAACTCAGTTTTACTTCATTTTTTGGAGAAATGAATAAATCATTTTTTAAAGTGCTAGTTTAAAGAAAAAAACCATCAGGGCTTAGGAGTTAGTGGCCCCAACCGCTATCTAGCAAAATCCTTGAGTTTAATAGGGGTATTGAACCCTATGAACCAGCAAAGGTACCAAAGGGTAAGTACATTTTACTAAAGTACCATTTTCAACACTTTTCCATATTTGAAATTTAAAAAGCGGATCTGTGAAGATTGAGCAACTAAATAGCTTTCATTTAAAAAAAAAATGAACAAAATCGATGAAGAATTGAGTGAGCTATTGACATTTTCCAAAACAGTGTATAGGACATACACCGGCCCCCAAAAGTTACACCGAGGCACCTTTAGAGTTCAAGGTCAATTTAATTACCGGACGAGCATTATTCCGCCGCAATACTCATGTTAGATGAAAGCCCAACTATCTAAGAGTCCACCTTAAAAAACCCGAAGGAAATCGACCAAGGATAACTAAATTAGAAGCAATTATAAAAAAAAAGACTGATTCTATGAATCTAATTAGGGTTAGGGTTAGGGTTAGGGTTAGGGTTAGGGTTAGGGTTAGGGTTAGGGTTAGGGTTAGGGTTAGGGTTAGGGTTAGGGTTAGGGTTAGGGTTAGGGTTAGGGTTAGGGTTAGGGTTAGGGTTAGGGTTAGGGTTAGGGTTAGGGTTAGGGTTAGGGTTAGGGTTAGGGTTAGGGTTAGGGTTAGGGTTAGGGTTAGGGTTAGGGTTAGGGTTAGGGTTAGGGTTAGGGTTAGGGTTAGGGTTAGGGTTAGGGTTAGGGTTAGGGTTAGGGTTAGGGTTAGGGTTAGGGTTAGGGTTAGGGTTAGGGTTAGGGTTAGGGTTAGGGTTAGGGTTAGGGTTAGGGTTAGGGTTAGGGTTAGGGTTAGGGTTAGGGTTAGGGTTAGGGTTAGGGTTAGGGTTAGGGTTAGGGTTAGGGTTAGGGTTAGGGTTAGGGTTAGGGTTAGGGTTAGGGTTAGGGTTAGGGTTAGGGTTAGGGTTAGGGTTAGGGTTAGGGTTAGGGTTAGGGTTAGGGTTAGGGTTAGGGTTAGGGTTAGGGTTAGGGTTAGGGTTAGGGTTAGGGTTAGGGTTAGGGTTAGGGTTAGGGTTAGGGTTAGGGTTAGGGTTAGGGTTAGGGTTAGGGTTAGGGTTAGGGTTAGGGTTAGGGTTAGGGTTAGGGTTAGGGTTAGGGTTAGGGTTAGGGTTAGGGTTAGGGTTAGGGTTAGGGTTAGGGTTAGGGTTAGGGTTAGGGTTAGGGTTAGGGTTAGGGTTAGGGTTAGGGTTAGGGTTAGGGTTAGGGTTAGGGTTAGGGTTAGGGTTAGGGTTAGGGTTAGGGTTAGGGTTAGGGTTAGGGTTAGGGTTAGGGTTAGGGTTAGGGTTAGGGTTAGGGTTAGGGTTAGGGTTAGGGTTAGGGTTAGGGTTAGGGTTAGGGTTAGGGTTAGGGTTAGGGTTAGGGTTAGGGGGTTAGGGTTAGGGTTAGGGTTAGGGTTAGGGTTAGGGTTAGGGTTAGGGTTAGGGTTAGGGTTAGGGTTAGGGTTAGGGTTAGGGTTAGGGTTAGGGTTAGGGTTAGGGTTAGGGTTAGGGTTAGGGTTAGGGTTAGGGTTAGGGTTAGGGTTAGGGTTAGGGTTAGGGTTAGGGTTAGGGTTAGGGTTAGGGTTAGGGTTAGGGTTAGGGTTAGGGTTAGGGTTAGGGTTAGGGTTAGGGTTAGGGTTAGGGTTAGGGTTAGGGTTAGGGTTAGGGTTAGGGTTAGGGTTAGGGTTAGGGTTAGGGTTAGGGTTAGGGTTAGGGTTAGGGTTAGGGTTAGGGTTAGGGTTAGGGTTAGGGTTAGGGTTAGGGTTAGGGTTAGGGTTAGGGTTAGGGTTAGGGTTAGGGTTAGGGTTAGGGTTAGGGTTAGGGTTAGGGTTAGGGTTAGGGTTAGGGTTAGGGTTAGGGTTAGGGTTAGGGTTAGGGTTAGGGTTAGGGTTAGGGTTAGGGTTAGGGTTAGGGTTAGGGTTAGGGTTAGGGTTAGGGTTAGGGTTAGGGTTAGGGTTAGGGTTAGGGTTAGGGTTAGGGTTAGGGTTAGGGTTAGGGTTAGGGTTAGGGTTAGGGTTAGGGTTAGGGTTAGGGTTAGGGTTAGGGTTAGGGTTAGGGTTAGGGTTAGGGTTAGGGTTAGGGTTAGGGTTAGGGTTAGGGTTAGGGTTAGGGTTAGGGTTAGGGTTAGGGTTAGGGTTAGGGTTAGGGTTAGGGTTAGGGTTAGGGTTAGGGTTAGGGTTAGGGTTAGGGTTAGGGTTAGGGTTAGGGTTAGGGTTAGGGTTAGGGTTAGGGTTAGGGTTAGGGTTAGGGTTAGGGTTAGGGTTAGGGTTAGGGTTAGGGTTAGGGTTAGGGTTAGGGTTAGGGTTAGGGTTAGGGTTAGGGTTAGGGTTAGGGTTAGGGTTAGGGTTAGGGTTAGGGTTAGGGTTAGGGTTAGGGTTAGGGTTAGGGTTAGGGTTAGGGTTAGGGTTAGGGTTAGGGTTAGGGTTAGGGTTAGGGTTAGGGTTAGGGTTAGGGTTAGGGTTAGGGTTAGGGTTAGGGTTAGGGTTAGGGTTAGGGTTAGGGTTAGGGTTAGGGTTAGGGTTAGGGTTAGGGTTAGGGTTAGGGTTAGGGTTAGGGTTAGGGTTAGGGTTAGGGTTAGGGTTAGGGTTAGGGTTAGGGTTAGGGTTAGGGTTAGGGTTAGGGTTAGGGTTAGGGTTAGGGTTAGGGTTAGGGTTAGGGTTAGGGTTAGGGTTAGGGTTAGGGTTAGGGTTAGGGTTAGGGTTAGGGTTAGGGTTAGGGTTAGGGTTAGGTTAGGGTTAGGGTTAGGGTTAGGGTTAGGGTTAGGGTTAGGGTTAGGGTTAGGGTTAGGGTTAGGGTTAGGGTTAGGGTTAGGGTTAGGGTTAGGGTTAGGGTTAGGGTTAGGGTTAGGGTTAGGGTTAGGGTTAGGGTTAGGGTTAGGGTTAGGGTTAGGGTTAGGTTAGGGTTAGGGTTTAGGGTTAGGGTTAGGGTTAGGGTTAGGGTTAGGGTTCGGGTTAGGGTTAGGGTTAGGGTTTAGGGTTAGGGTTAGGGTTAGGGTTAGGGTTAGGGTTAGGGTTTAGGGTTAGGGTTAGGGTTAGGGTTAGGGTTAGGGTTAGGGTTAGGGTTAGGGTTAGGGTTAGGGTTTAGGGTTAGGTTTAGGGTTAGGGTTAGGGTTAGGGTTAGGGTTAGGGTTAGGGTTAGGGTTTTAGGTTAGGGTTAGGGTTAGGGTTAGGGG